GGCCCTAGGATGGATCTTTAGGGTGTGGTGGTCTCCAGCATGGCTTGCTGACAGACCGAGGGGGGGGGACGTAGTTCCTGTCAGGCTCTGTGCTGACCTCACCCCCTAGTGACTTCAAGCTCCCTCAATGAAGCAGCACATCCCATCCTCGTTGCCACTGTTATATCTTTGGTTCTTTAGGCATTGAACGAGGCAGAGTATTGAAACAGCAAACAAGTTTATTAACTCAGAACAAAAAATTTCCCTAAAATTTTGAGCATGCGTAAATTTAACATTTCTAATCCAAATTAACTCCCATAAATCCAATAAAATCGGTTCCTGAATATTCTGAGCCCATTTAATCATACAATCTTTTACTAGCTCTGTTTCCGAATCCAATTTTATTAACTCATTGTAAATTCTTTTAATATGAGCATATTTCTGATTTTTAATCTGAATTACCAAATTTTCATGTGCTAAGGTGATTCCCACTTTCTTATCTAAAGTCCACCTCTCCACTATTTGCAAATATTGAAACCATGAATGTAAAATATTTTCTTGCCTTAACAAATCTGAAGACTTTAGTTGCCAATCAGTACCCGACCAAATAAGTAATTCTTCAGACGAAATAGAAACCCCCTGAATTGCTTGTCCAGGAATCCCCCAAATAAGTATTTTATAATTTAACTTATAATAATACTTCTTCCAAACTCGAAGTAAAGTATTTCTTAAAATGTGTGACTTAAAAACCAGATCTACTTTCTTGTCAAAAATTAAATATGCATGCCAACCATATAATAAACCCCAACCTTCAAGAGCAAGAATATTTTTATTTGTTAAATTAAGCCAATCACTTACTAAAGTTAAAGTGGCCGCATCATAATATAATTTCAAATTAGGTGCTTTAAGTCCACCTCTTTCTCGAGTGTCTTGCAAAATCTTAAACTTTATCCTTGATTTCTTCCCACCCCAGATAAATTTATTGATACCTTTCTGCCACTCATCCAAATTAGCACCCTTTTTTAAGATAAGTATCATCTGAAACAAAAAAAGAAACTTTGGTAGAACATTCATCTTTACTACTGAGATTCTCCCCAGCAACGATAGTTGTAATTTTTGCCAATTATTTAAATCTTTTTGTACTTTTACCCATAAGTGTTCATAATTATTCTTATACAATTTTCCATTAGATATTGTGATATATACTCCTAAATACTTAACCTTATTAACTACTTCATAACCTGTTGCTTCAACTATAATATCTTTTCCCTTCATAGACATATTTTTCAATAATATTTTAGTTTTGTTCTTATTCACCTTAAAACTAGAGACCTGTCCATACTGCGCTAAAATTTCAACTAAGTCTCTGACCAAATCTGTTGGGTGGGATAACGTCACAACCAAATCATCAGCAAAAGCTCTCAGCCTATAATCAATCTTACTTATTTTTATTCCCTTTAATCTAGATGAATCTCAAATTTTAATAAGTAAAATCTCCATTGTTAATACAAATAACAAGGGGGATAAGGGACAACCCTGCCTTCTACCTTTTCCTATTTTAAATACATCTGTTAATCCCCCATTAATTATAATTTGTGCCGATTGTTGCTGATATATGGCCTTGAGAGCACACAAAAATTTGTCTCCAAAGTTCATTTCCTCTACAACTTTCAAAAAAAATTTCCAATCTAATTGATCAAAAGCTTTCTCAGCATCTATAAATATTAAAGCAGCAGGGATTTGGTTGTTCTTATCCAAATACTCTAGTAAGTTAACAATTTGTCTTACATTATATTTCATATACCTTTATACCTTCCCATTATAAATCCAGATTGGTCAGTATGAATCAATTGTTTCAAAACCTGCATTAATCTATTTGCCAGTATCTTTGCAAAAATCTTATAATCTGTATTTAAAAGAGATATAGGCCTATAATTTCTAGGTTGGGACAGATCCTGGTCTTCCTTTGGAATCAATGATATAAAAGCCCTTCTCCAAGATGGAGGTAGCTCTGCTCCCAATAAAATATCATTGAAAAGTTCCTTTAATGGTTCTATCATTTCTTCAGATAGCATCTTATAATAAATTGCTGTTAGTCCATCAGTACCTGGAGTCTTGCCAACCTTCAATTGTTTAATTGCAGAAATAATCTCTTCAGAAGTAATTAAACCGTTAATCCCATCACGTTGGTCTAGGAAAATGTGCTTCCTGTAAATATTTTTCTATGTCTGAAGTTTGTATAGTTTCACTAGCATATAACTTTGAATAAAAATCTAAAAAAATCTTTTTAATCAAATTTTGTTGATACACTTCTTTACCTTTATAAATTATTTTATCTATAGTCCTTGATTTCTGTTTCTTACATAATTGATAAGCCAACCATCTACCGGGTTTATTTGCATTACAAAATGGATTCATATACCTCAAATTAGTTGCCATCTGATCCGCTATTAACATATTAAATTGCTCCTTAAGCAGAGTTATAGAAACCTTTAAGTTATTATCCATTGGGTTTGATATTAAAATCTTTTCCTTACATTTAATCTCATCTTCCAAGTCTTTACGTTTCTGAGTCTGTTTACGTCTATGAGCATTATTCATAGAAATCAAAATCCCTCTCATATATGCTTTACTAGAATCCCATACCATTGGCATCGAGGTACCCTTATTCATGTTCCAAGCAAAGAATTCCTTTAAATAACCTCTACATCTCTGTATATTCTCTTCATATCTAAATAAATTCTCGTTCAACCTCCAAGACCTTCTAGTCCCTTCTTCCAGCGAAATTTCCAACCATACAGGACTATGATCTGAAATTATTCTAGGAAATATCTTGGTATTCTTCACCCTAGAAAAGAAATCATTAGTAACTAAAAAAAAGTCAATTCTAGAATAAGATTGGTGCCTATCTGAAAAAAAGGTAAAATCTTTTTCCTGAATGTTCCATTCTCTCCAAATGTCTCTAAGTTCCAAATCATCCTTTAAATCAAAAAAAGCTTTAGGAAGTCTTGCATGATTTTATAGATGGCATCTGGATCCTAAAAAGTTGTCTTGTATGTACCTGAACCTGCAACCTAAATGTTGGAGATGTGGTAGCTTGGATGCAACTTATTTTCATGTTTGGTGGACTTGTAAAAATATTAAAGCCTTTTGGATTATGATTTGGTGGAACATTCAAAAGATTTTTAAGATTAAGTTTACTCCCCAATTATTTCTTTTGGGTATTTTTGTGGATTTTGATGCTAAAGAAACTATTTTAATGTTAAATTTAATAACAGCAGCAAGATTATTGGTGGGTCAATATTGGAAGAAAAACTCTCTGCCTTCTTTAGAAGAATGGGTATTTAAGATTTCTAATTTAGCAGAAATGGCTAAAATTTCTGCTTATTTAAAGGATCGTTCACAAGAGAGGTATGTTATTGTATGGAGAAAATAGATAGAATATGTTCAGAAGAAATATGGAACTATAAAAATTCATTTATTTTATGAATAATGGATTTGTTTATCAAATTATGATGTTAAAGTTTGAAGAGAGTTAAGGGTTAGTATGATTTTGGTTATTGTATAATTAGTAAACTCACATAGATTATGTTTAATATGTTTGTATAACCCTGTACTTGGCTCTGAGAAGTTGGGGGGGAGGGGGCAGGGGGAGGGGGTCGGGGAGGGGGTGGGGGAGGATGGGTTGCAGGTTAAATAGGTCAGATAAGTAGAAATAGTTGTGGTTGTTTTTTGTATATACTATTGATGTTTTAACTTGGAGAGAGGAATTGCTCGGGCATTTCCCCTGGATCGCATCCAGAGTGAGAAGATAGGAGAAAGGGGAGAAGTAAGTAGGAAGGTTGAGGAGAAGGAGGAGAGGGGGAGAGTGAGGAAGAAGAGGGAAAGAGGGAAGTGAGAGAAGAGGTTAGAGGGTGGATGTGGTTTGGGGGGAAATGGGTGAGCAATACCGAATGTTGTGTGTATAAATTTACTTTATTCTTTATCTGAAGTACTTTTTATGAATGTAATGAAAAAATTGAAATAAAAAATGCCGCTATTAAAAAAAATTTATTAACTCAGAACAGAAGTAGCTGCACAGCTATTTATACAGTTAGCCTCTAGGTGGCAACAGTCAAAGTTTTAAAACTGCAAATCCAAGATGTAGCTGAGAGCTGCGGGTTTCCCACTTTATTTTAAGCATAAATGCATAAATCTTATGTAATGTTGATCTTATAGTTCAGAATTAATACACTAGACACTAAAAAACCAATGGCCACTGTATATGACAAAAAAATTTTTTTTTAAAGCATGACTAAATTTCTTCACTTGTGCTGAGCCTGCCTACTTTATGTAGTTTGGAAAATATGGGAATTAAGTTAAATAGTTATAATTTAGAAAGGAGATGGCAAAATGATTTCAAAGTAAATAATTATTTGTGAGATTGCTTTATTCTATTTGTTTCTTCCCAACCCACTAGGTCTAATAGGTAGGCTGTGCTCTGGTTTCATTTATTAAACAGGACCATAAGACTGGCCCAAAGAAGTATGGCTTTTCTGCTGCAGAACGTGCCTTCTAAAACACTATATCCTGAAATTCATGGAGCTCTAACCCTGCTAGCATTTCAGGAGTTGCTGAAGATTTGTATATTCCTTTGAGGTCTGGAGTTTAGACGAGCTCATCACTGTGAATTTGTCTTTTTTAGGATTAGAGCTGAGTTTATTTTCAACTGCCATTACTTTTCTTATTTTTCTTATCAAGCATTCTGTTCACTTTAAACCAACGTATGCCTACTACTATTGAAATTGTAAGATGCAATTGCAATTGGTATAATAAATGAATGAATGAATGAATGAATGAAGATTAATGCAGTTAATTTATTACTAGTTCAGTAATATTTTTAATTTATTCATTTGTGAAACATTTAATGTTCATAAACATTAAACAACAACAACCCAGAAGTAGATTATAGCAGAAATTAACTGCACTACTTAAAGTTCACTGTGTCTTCTACAAAATCTTATGTTTGCCCATCTTCTCAGAATGGCTAGGTCAAGAACTAGACCTTGGGAGCCATGGATGATTGCTTTGATTGTGTTAGCGATATTGCTGATCTTAGCCACTGCCATTGGCTTGCTTGTGTATTTTTTGATATATGGTAAGTATATTTATTTTTCAGTCCATATGATTTGAATGGCTTAGTGCTTGAAAATCTTTCAACAATCAGAAGTAAAAAATTATGTAATGCAATTCTTTCCTGAAGGATTTATAGCTACTTTTATTCCAACTGGACCATTTCAAGGAAGGTCATCTGCCAAACAACATAACATATGCATTATGGATTGGCAATATTTTCCTATGTCTGATCTCTGTGTTGGTGTATCATCCAATGCAAAGTATGATCCTGTTATATCCTGCCAAATATAGCATTAGGTAATGGGTGGAAAGAATAATCCTGAAGAATACGATGAAGAGCTACAACCAAGACAATAGTCAGATGAAAGACATCTGAGTCCAGGGCAGAAATGTAATTTGAGAAAGCATATCAGATATGACCCTCCCTAGTTCTCATGAAGAAAAAAGAGAGAAGGGAATACTTTCAGACTTGCAAAATTCTGTTACTATAACTTTAGGCAAGTAGTCTTTGACCTCCAGTTATTTATTTAGAGACTGAAATTATGAAGTCATTGAAAGAAGTGACTAATAATTAGTCCATGCATTTATGACCATCCATACAGTCACATAATTGTGATTTGGGTTGCTCAGTAACTGGCTCACACTTATGACAGTTGTGGTGCTATGTAGTCATATGATCACTATTTCTGACCTTCCCAACCAGTTTCCAAAAACAAAATCAATAGGGAAGCTGGTATAGAAGGTAACAAATTGTGGTCAGATGATGTCTCAGTTAATGCTACAGTGACTTGCTTAATAGCTGTAGTTTAAAAAAAAGGTTGTAAAATTGGATGTAGTCATGTGATACCTTTCTTTTTTTAAAATATTTTTATTCATAATACAATTAAAACAACAATGATGTACAAAAGCTTAATACATCATTCTTAACCTCTATATAAGCCTCATCTTCTACACAATACAATTATATATACAATTATATGTACAGTTATATATATCTTTTAATTCTACCATTAACTTGAAGTCCGAGCAGTTCTCCTTAATTCATACCAACGGTAAAATTTGCCCCAGATTTCGAAGTATTCGTGTTCTCTCTTGTCTTTCATAATCATTGTAAGCCTGTCCATCTCAGCACATGATAAAATTTTATGCAGGATCTCTTCTTCCATTGGAGTTGTGGTACCTTTCTTAATGTATCACTTAGTGACAAATTTTTTGGTTCCAATTGTGGTCATTAAGTCAAGGACCACCTATAGTATGACCACAGTTGAGCGCAAAATTTCCATTGCTAAGCAAGACAGTTATTGTTTTGCCCCATTTTATGACGTTTCTTGCCAAAATTGTTATGTAAATCACTGCAATTGTTAAATTAGTAACACTAGTAGTTGTTAAGTGAATCTGGCTTCTCCATTGGCTTTGCTTGTCAGAAAGTCACAAAAGGTGATGACATGACCTTGGGACATTGCAACCGCCATAATTTCATGCCAGTTGCCAAGTGTCTGAATTTTGATCATGTGACCATGGGGGTGCTACAATGGTTGTAAGTGTGAAAAACAATCATAAATCACTTTTTTCAGTGCTGTTGTAGCTTCAAACAGTCACTAAATGAATGGTTGTAAGGCAAGGACTCCCTGTATTAACTTCCCTATCTTTGGTTTCCAAGTCTGGTCTATATTGGAGGGCTGAAACATTGGTAGAGCTGCTGCAAGTCTTAAAATTTGGATATAAGGTAATAGAATTAGTAAGCTGCTTGAAAACCACCCTTGGCAGATAAACCCCATTGCACTGATGAGATGGTGAATGTTGTCTGATAAATCAAAGGAAGAACCTGCTCGTGTATTGTTTTACAGGACTGGAACCTGATTGAAAAGGTTCTCTGTATATATCAGTGTGCATATACTGATATACATGTATATTGCATCATTTGCATCTTAGCAGAATGTAGCCAACTCCTGATTCTGGACTTTCACCAAGAAATTTTAATCCTTTCACTGAAAATTCTAAAAAGAGGAAAGGAGGATCAATTATGAGACTTGCCAACCATCAAGCATGAGAAGACATAGTTAATTATTTCTTTGTGGATGAGTAATTGTTTGAACTAGCCTTGGCTTCTTTCACTTGACATACACTCTATCTGATAGCTCCAAAAATCAATAACTTAACTTATCTAGGACCAATTTTTGTGATACCATTCATAATCCAGGTCAACCTATTCTACATGGTCTTTTTTCTTCCCATAAAAAATACAGGAAATATATTAAAATCCTTTGCTTCAGAGTTAAAATATGTCTTTCATATGATAGTTACTCCTCTAAAACCTCTAAATTATTAGAAAATTCCCTCTAATGATGATTGCTCAATTGTGTTTCATTCTTGTAAGTTAATTGATATTATGATATAAATGCTTTCATTCTTTCCCTTCATATGCAGATCAGAAGTTATTCTTTTACAATGCTTCCTTTAGAATCAATAATGTGAAATATCAGCCTAACTTTGAAAAACAGACTTCAGCAGAATTTAGAGAACTGAGCAGAAGTATTGAGATTTTGGTAAGTGATTTGTTTTTTGTTTTTTAAAATGCATTTGATTCTGTTATGAAGAAGGAAAAGAACACAGACAGACATAGAAACGTTAGGAGAGAACAATCTTTCCCCCTTTCTTTCTGTTTCTTTTATTTGAAACTTGATGCAGAGATTTTGCATATTGTAAGTCCCCTTTAGTGAACTGCACAAACTTCCTAGCAGTCTTTATGAATCTCTATCTCTTCTGTACCTCACTTCAAGCCAGCTAAAAAATATCCCATAGCAAACAATGGGTTCTCTTAATAATCACGGAGTTTGCTTTACCACCACCAAGTTCACTGCCAAAAAGATCATAAAATCAGACACGGTTATGTGTTGACCTGCTTTATGACTGTCACAATTTATGACTGAAATTACAGACTCAATTACAGTCATAAGTTGAGGATTACTTTTATATATTGTGGGTTATGAAGCCTGTTAGAACTTGATGCAACAAACTGGCTGCAAAGAAGTGAAGTAAGCTGAATACATTATCCTTATTCATTCAAATAAATATATATGCTGAATATATATTGAGTAAACATAGATTAGAAGAATATGAGCATGATTTTAAAATTAGAGAAAGAGACATCAATAACCTGAGTTAATGGATGGTACTATTCTGAAAGTCAAAATGCATATGAACTAGTAATACAAGGACTGTAGTCAAAGATTGCGAGTAAGATTAAATATAAAGAAGTGCAAACTAACAGCAACAGATGTCCCAACCAGCCCTAGAATTGACAATGAATTAAAGTGGTGGATCAGTGCCTTTTAGAATCAGCTTTTTTAAGGGAGTAAGAAAGATTATCTTATTGGAGTGGGCAAAGGAGTTGAAGCATTTCTTAAATCTATAATAGATAACATTTGAAAGTGATTCAGGCAGATGCTTCCCTATTTCATGGAACTATAAAAAGGAGGGGGAAGTACAGCACAATCAGACTTGCAAGATTCTGTTATTATAGCAAATGTCAGTAAAAGTAGTTTTAGCTTATCTGTGAAGCTGATTCCTAGTCTGGTCTACCTAGTGGAGTCATTGCAATCAACAGTAAAAGAACCAGCAGTCAAGAAATATACTGTATTTTAGCAAATTGTAGAGCACCAGTGAAGACCTTGAAAAAATATGCAGATTGCTGGAATATGCCAATATCTACAAAGATTGAAATGTTGCAGTTAATATTTTTCAATGTGACACTTTATGGACTATGAAAGTTGGATTTCCAAGAAACAGGAGAGAATAAGTATTGATACTTTTAAATTTTGATGATGGAGAAAACTCCTGAGAATACCATGGAAAACTAAAAAACAAATAAATGGTTCATAGAATAAATCAATTCAAGGCATACATGAACAGGCTCAAATCATCATGTTAAGGACATATCATACAAATATCCAGCTCTCTAAAAAAAAAGTCTATAATGCTGAAAAAGATGGAAAGAGAAAATGAGGATGCTCAGCAGCAAGGTGGATGGACTATTACAGTAGCAATGGGTGCACTGTTTGGAAGATCTGGATGACCAGGTTGGGGACACAGAGTTTTGGAGAAAAATTATCTATGTGGTCTTGGACAATTGAACCAACTTGATTGCAAATCTCAGTTCAAAGACAGTATTATCATATCCCAACATGTGGAACTGTTAGCAGAATTAGCAAGCATGAAGATATTTTTCCAATTGGGTGCATTAGCACATGCCACACGCCACATGCCACAGGATGAAGGAAGCACATATCAATATATGTTTAGAACATTATGCAGTTGACACACTTTAAATATATGTCCCTTGGATTGTGTTCAAATATTTCATAACACCATGCAATAACAAAGTTCCAAGAACTTTGGTATGCATGGATTATATACTTGCATTGTGTGCCATACATGAATACAAATAGTCTTCATCTTATAACGGTTCATTTAGTAACTGTTCAAAGTTACCACAGCACTAAAAATGATTTATAACCATGGTCATATGATCAAAATTCAGACACTTGGTAACTGACTCATATTTATGATGGTTGCAGTGTCCCAGGGTCATGTGATCACTTTTTGTGACCTGCTGACAAGCAAGGTGAATGGAGCAGCTAGATTCACTTAACAACCATGTTATTACCTTAACAACTGCAATGATTAACTTAATAACTCTGGCAAGAAAGAATGTAAAATGGGGCAAAATTCATTTTACAACTATCTCACTTAGCAACAGAAATTTTGGGCTCAATTGATTTTAGGATTACCTGTACAATCAATGATTAAAACTGGACCTCAAAAAATTCAGATCCTCAAACATGAAACTGAAAAAAGCAAACAATATTTTAAAGTTCAAGAAATATAATATCAGGGAGAAATGGTAACAAAATATGGCATTAAACTAGATTGGCCCAAAGTTAACACAGCTCTAACAAGAAGGCATTCAATTAAAAGTTAACATTTAGAACAAGTCATAGAATTGGGTGAGATACTTAAATTAGCTCAACATGCCAATCCTTTGGTAAGACAACTGGGCAGAGATTGCACCAGGGTTTGTTATAAAATTGCACAGTTTTGTCACATCTATTTCAAATATAAGCTGGTGGCTAGCTTAGAAGAAATTCCCATTCAAATGGTCAATAAAGACTAATTTATTAAATAGATGTGCAACTTTTTTTACAGCTCTATTTCATTCTGGTTAGACCATCTAATACTGCAATTTGTGGAAGGATTTTAAAGGACTTTCCAAGAAGGCTTATCTTTTGTGTGCATGTTTGATTTATTTTAATTTTTATTTCTTTATTGCAGATCCAGATATATATATTTTAGAAAGAAATTCTCTTAGGGGAATGGTAAATTTGTGAGGTTTCCTCCCCTATTATCCAACCAACCATAACTAGAATAATAAAATAGTAGAATGGAAAGAATGGAAGAGACCTTGGAGATCAAGTTATCCCTGCTTAGTGTAGGAATTCTCCACTAGAGTATTGTTGACAGATGGCCATCAAGTGAAAAAGTTGACCACTTTCTAAGGCAGTCTATTCCAATGCTAAATCACTCTTTCTCCAAATATCTCCAAATTCTCTGTGTTCTTTTTAAAATGTGTTGCCTAGAACTGGGTGTAATATTCTAGTTGTGCCAAATTCTGGATAGAATGAAATAAGACTACTCTTAACACTATATTTTTGTTGAAGCACCCTGATTGTTCTTTTTTTGTTTGTTTGTTTGTTTTGTTTTTTGTTTTTTTGCCATCTGCTTTACAGTACTGGCTCATATTCAGTTTGTGAACTATCAAGGCACTTAGATTTTTTTCAGCTATATTGCTCCCAGCATGCTTTTCCATCCTGTACTTGTTGGGCCTTTGATTTTTCTTATACAAATCTAAGACTTAAGCTGCTTAAAGTCACCTCCACGTGACTCTAGACAACATGTAAGTTGAATAAATAAACAAAATATTCCAGTTAAGCTACATTTGCTGGTTTTTATCTATTGTCCCAGTTTGTTCCTGAATCCTGATACCATCTTCTAAAATGTTTGTTATTCCTCCTAACTTTGTATCAGTGGCATTTTTATCATCAAATTTCAAACCTCTCATCCAAGTTATTTATAAATATCAACTCAGATGATAAACAAAGAATGGCCAAGTTTCTTCTTTAAAGCCTTGCCAGATTGTTTTAATTGATTCATACTGTATTGTTTTTTTAATTGCTACATGAATGTCCATGAAAAAGAGTGGTCAAAATCTGCAAAGATGATGGACTATGTTATTTTAAAAGCCTACCCCTTTCCCAATGTATGTGATTCTTAGCCAGTGATGGGATTCAGCCAGTTTGCACCCCTTTGGCAGAACCGGTAGCTAATTTTTTGTTGCCCAGCCCAAAATGACTTCTGGAAGTGGCATCCACACAGAGAACCGGTTGTTCGGATATTTGAATCCCACCAGTGTTCTTAGCATGTACAAAACAAGTATGGCTATGATTGGGATGTTGTGTTCATCATCTTGCAGACTTTGAGACATAGACCTAGTGGCACTGCTGCATTCCTACTCTGTTTAAAAAGTTTTCTATATCAAACATAACTTTTTGTTCCTTTCAACAGATTAAACAAGCATTTCAAGCTAGTCCCTTAGAAAAAAGGCTCATTAATTCACGTGTTGTCAGGCTAAGGTATGTAGATGAACATTCCACTCAGGAACAGATGAATTAATTGCTAACAATGACATGAGAATGAATTTATAAATCAAATGGCCAAGATAGCATTAAAAAAAAGATCTGGGTTACTTCCGCCAAATGGTGTTTCTCAGTTCTCACTCTCATTAATCAGCATTCAAAACTAGTATAATTATGCCAGTTGTAGGCTAACACCTAGGAGCTAGAGGCATGTTAGAATACACTAATCTTTTTTTTTGGGGCACAATTTAGAATGGAAGCTGAAAATAACCCAACTAACTGACATGTCCTTTAATGTAACTACTGCCAGATACCTTTTATATTCCTGTCTTTTGATAAACTTTTATTCATGGAATCAATATCATCTGGCTCACAACCATAAAACTAGCAGATGAATATTTCAAAAATATTTGGGACAATTTTAACATAATTAAACCTCCATAACTATTATATTTGAATTACGTTAATTGAATTCGTCTCTCAGTTTTTTGGAAACTGATGAATTGGGAAGGTCAGGACTAAATTCTACCTTCTTATCCTGAAACACCTAAACATATAAACATTTGGGGGAAATTTCAAGGCAAGACCAGCAAGTGGACAAATACCAGGACTCAGATAACTATTGTACAGTCCACAGTTTTTGCTGAAGAATCCATGGACTGAAAATGTTCCATAATAATAAAGTGATGGACGTAATTAGGCTTAATTTTCTAACTGCTATAGATTGGAGAACATTTTAGGAAGGTTCTTGAAGTTCTTCCCACAGAAGTCCTATGTATGTTAAACTATAGATTTGCAATTCCTATCCTCAAAACAGGAGCCCTTTCTTACTATGCAATGACCATATAAAATCTTTTTTTTTAGTACGCCTTCTTTTAATAGTTGAATAGATCCTGAATTAGGACAAATACATCCCTCCAGATATATTTGTTGAGTCTAAAATCACATTAAAAGTTCACTATATTCCAGTAAATGAGTGGCAAGAGTAGGCTTCTGTGCAATGTAGTGTGATATTATCTAGCCCAACTGGATCTAACTAATGGGGCCAATACATTCACAATACACAGTATGTTCAAACACATATAAACATGTGATTGGGTTTATTAAAGTGAAACTGAAGCAAGCAAACAAAAAAGATTCCCGTAGTGTGAAATCTAATTTCCAAAACAAGAAATAGATACTGAAATTTGATTTATTATTTGAACCATTTGTACAAAGAATGGGACAACTTGCCATGGCTGACTCGCTCCAGCCAACTCTCCCCAAATATCTTGCCACGGTCAACTTGCTGCAGGACAACTCATTGTGGCCAACTTGCCTTGGGCTAACTTGTCCTGGGCTAACTCAGCATGGTCAACTCACCAGGACAATTCAACATGGGATAACTCAAGAGAGGGACAAGTGAACTACATTCAGTCTCAAGGACTTCTAAATTGAGAAGTTCCAAATCTAAAGCAAGACATGAGTTGCTGCAAATTCACTTGTTCCTCTCTTGAGTTATCCTCTGTTGAATTGTCTCACAGCAAGGGCCACAGCGAGTTGTCCTGCAGCGTGCTGTTGTGCAGTGAATTGGCAGTGGCAACTTGTTCCACAGCTATGGTGAGTCAACCAGGATAAGAGAGCCAGGGTGTGTCGGCTGGAGTGAATCAACTGCAGTGATGAGATCTAGAGCCATTTGTACAAGGCTCACTTAAACTGTCTGTCTGGCCGAAGAGAATAACTACAGGGAATATGGATCACTGTTAAAACTGTTCCTTTTCTGCTGAAGAATACTCATAAATTTTCAGAAACATAAAGTTGACATCATTGTCCATGCCTGGAAATTATAGTTTTGTTTCTCTTAATCCATAAGATTTTGGCTTTAAACTGAGCATATAATAATTTAGCATTCTTTTAGGACTGTCTCAAAACACCTCATTTATTGAAAGATTATTTTGGCAGATTAGCAGTCTGTAAACTCTGGCAAGTCTGCAGTGTGCTCTTTTTTATTTACTTACTGATTTAGGCAGATGAATGGCATTATCTTGCTTCTGTACCCTGCCTCCACATTTTTCAGCACAATACTATTTCTGGGAATTGTGGGCAAACAACAGCCAGTGAATAAAACTTAATTGCAAGATGGGCACATGAAAAAAAAAGGGGGAAAAGAGCTAAAACAGGGGGAAAGTTTGTGACACTAGAAGATCCCTATATTTTCTAGTCCCAAATCTTAGCTATTTTTGATGGTATCATCCAAATTTATGTCAAAACATTTCTAGTGCCTGCCCAGTCCCATCCATTTCTAAGACGCAATGAGTTGAGCAGCAAATCTTCCGGTGCTTGTACTTGGTGTTCCTTTATGGACCGATGCAGTATTTTAATTTTTCTGTCTTACTTGCCCCAAAGCCTTGAGTGAATATATATGAAAAAAATAATAACCCTGCAGAGTATAGAAAATATTCTGGCTTGTTTGGTCAACTGCCTGTATTATTCTTTTGCAGCCCAGGGAATGAAGGTGTCCTGGTAGATGTGGTGCTGATATTTAAGTTCATTGCCACAGATAATAAAGAGATACTCTGGACAAATATTTATCATATTTTGCTGAAAAAACTGAAAGCATCAACATGGCCCTTAAGTATTGATCTTTCTTCTTATAAGCTCTCAGGCAAGTGTTACAGATGTCCTTTGTAATGATGATCAATTTTTTTAAACTGTTTACTTTGTCTTCACTGTCACCTGAAATATATTTGCTGACTTAATCAAAACTGTGTTACCCATTTCCTATTCTTGCTCAAGATATTTGTGTAGTATTTGCACTTTTTTTCCTGTGGGGAAAAAGCTTTCATATTTCCAGCCAATTTCTATTAATAATTGTTCCTTGGCTTTCAATTTGCTTATTTGTTTAATATTTAAAGAATAATTATTAGGAATTAACAGAGCATTTTGCCCAAAAAATATTGAGAAAATTTCATTGAGCCAAAGCCAGTAATCTTTATGTTATTTGATTATTTTTATATGAACTAGTCACCCTTATATAGTACAATAAATAGGAACGTCGGCTGATTGGTTAATTCATGATGATAACACACTAAATGGGTTATAAGGGATTTTCTGACAGCTTTTGTAAGAATTATATAGAGAACAAATAGATATCTTATTTTCTTTCTGGTGATTGTAATAGTAGAAAGATGCCAATTTAAATGCTTTAAGTTTCATAAAAGTAGTTCAGGAAAAAGACAATTAAATACATTTAATCAAGAGGAAGAGTTTAGAAATGTGGCCTTGCAGTCTTCAGATTTCCTAAGGCTAATATGGTTGTAAGACTGTTTGTATTGCATTTACAAAGGTATTTTGTTTTATTCTAAGCAAAAAATACTTAAGCAAAATTTTCACCTTCTCTTATTTAAAATGCTGGATATTCAGCCTTACTGGAAGGGAGATACTGGTTTGAAAAAATCCTTTGCCAATATTCCCAAATTACTAGTGATTATTAAATCATGTACTTTAGATGAAGGATGGATGAAGATATTGCTACTGCAAAATTAATATTTGTTTCTTTATCTTTCTTTTCAGAGATAAATGAAGAAAATGGTACAAATCTTCTTAACAGTTGTAAGTATCAGAACAACTATCTGTTTGAAAACAGATTTGTTAAAAATTGCTGTGTTTAGCCTCATTTTCCTCTGGATGCTGTTCTCCAGATGTTTTTAACTTTATAACTGGGGAAACTGGACACATCTACTGTATAAAATAAGACTGCCCTATTGAGGAATGCTGCCTTAGCACCATCATTCTCAAACTTTTTTTATATACTAGTATGCTCAGTCATAACAGATCTGTTTTTTTTTCAGTCTGATTATCACATTTGATAATCACTTCCACTAAATAACATTATGAAGACAAAGAAGATACTGGAATCTTTTTTTATAGCAATGAATCATGAAAATAAATTTTAAATTCACTTAATTGTAATATTGTAACTCAGATCATCCATGAACTGTTTCTTAAGAATGGTATGTTATTTGTACAAAATTGAACTGTTACATAGCATTTTTCCCTAAGGGCGGGGGAAATGATATTTCTGAGCTAACCTCAGCAACCAGAAAAACATATCTATTTTCTTTCTTGAACCCAGAAATGCAATTCTGTATTTATTTGGTGGTGAGTGAGGGTGTTCCAAGAAGACAGTTCCTAGCATTTTACAGTTGTAGCATTCTGTGGTCACATGAATACCATCTGAGACCTGCCCAGTTAGCTTCTGACAGGCAAAATCTATGGGGTGAACTGGATTCATTTAACAGCCATGTGAGTCATTTTACCACTGGAGTGATTCATTTAAGAAACAAGACTAAAAGATGATAAATTTGGGTGCAACTCACTTAATAACCAGCTGGCCTAGCAACAGACATTCTGTCCCAATTATAGTTATATTACCTGTATTCAAAAGGGATTGTGCAATTATTTTCTTGTTTTGCTGTGAATACATAATTTAGAGCAAGAAAAAAGCAATATCAAGACAGCACATTAATGGAAACAATTATGTATTGATACCCCCTTGCCTGTTCCCTTAATGTTCAGTGAATGAATGATGTATGGCTGTTTAATACATTCCACCATCTTTAGTGAGAATGTCTTCCAGGCAAACATGAACAAAATTAACCCATTCTCTATATTTCTAAAAAAGAGTACTTTGTTTATTTTTTTAAATTAGAAATTATGTTCTAATAAATTATGATTTTTATACTTCTAGCAAACCCTCAGACCGCCTTTAATAAAGTGTTATGTTCTCTGGAAAGAAATGAAATAAACATTCTTTTGGGGGGGCTGGGAGTAGGTTGTGGGACACGACTGGACAGATCTGTGGAGAGAATCTATGGAGGAACTATTGCAGGGGAAGGGGAATGGCCCTGGCAAGCTAGTCTCCAGCTAAATGGCATTCACCGTTGTGGAGCAACGCTGATCAGCAATAACTGGCTTGTGACTGCTGCTCATTGTTTTAGAGGGTGAGTAAATCTTTCCCTATACCTCTAAGACAGGGGTGTCAAACTGCTGGCCCATGGGCTGGATGCGTCATGGTGAAACTGTGCCCACCCCATTGCTGGCAATGGAAAAAAGTTGTGATAAATCGTGACACATCACATGATGTTGCAAGTTTGACACCCCTGCTCTAAGACTACACCTGAATCAACATATTTAAGCAATAAAATTTTCCCAATTCATTTATGCACAGATGTTACCACTAATACAGTTTGTCTCGTATGTTTAAAACTAAAATTGTAGAAGGGAGAGTGGTGTTTAACTCTCTATCTCTGCTCACAGCTGCTGTTATTCCTAAACACTCCATTTTACAAACTGAATTTATTTCTAATCTTGAAGTCTGATGATAGTGAGTTGAGGAAAAACTGGAAAACAGTTAGCAAGGAACCATTGTGAAGTTTTGTTTACAATAAATGAAAATGCAAATAGAGTTCTTATTGTATAATCTGTACTCTCTAATGTCTTTCAGTGTCCGAGATGTTAGAAGTTGGACAAGTAGTTTTGGGGCTCGTCTAAGACCTCCAACAATGAGAAGGAATCTTCGCCAGATCATCGTTCATGATCATTATGCCAATAATGTCATGAATCATGAATTTGATATTGCTGTTGTACAGATTTCACCCCCAGTGGAATTTACAACTGCTGTACATCGTGTTTGTCTTCCAGAAACTTCATATATTTTTCCAGAGAATACAACTTGTGCTGTTACAGGATTTGGTGCTCTTAGAGATGACGGTTAGTAGCTCCCTCTTTGGAATTAGTTAACTTGTGTGAATAATCATTATTTGATCATTTGTTAACCGCAGCAGATTATAGAGATACCAAATTACGCTATTAAGAGGGCTTATCTCCTTTTCCAACCAGATATATTCATAACAATTTCAGAGAGAATAGAATAGAGCTGGAAGGGCCTTTGGAGGTCTTCTACTCCAGCCCCCGGCTCAAGCAGGAGAACTTATACCATCTCAGACAGATGATTGTCTAGTCTCTTCTTAAAAATCTCCAGTGATGGAGCGCCCACAATTTCTGGAGGCAGGCTGTCCCACTGGTTGATTTTCCTCACTGTCAGGAAGTTTCTCCTTAATTCCAGATTGCTATTCTCTTTGGTCAATTTCCAACCATTGTTTCTCGTCCTTCCCTTTGGTGCTTTGGTGAACAACATGACCCCTGTTCCTTGTGGCAGCCCCTCCGATACTGGAATACTGCTATCATGTCTCCCCTATTTCTTCTTTTCGTTAGACTAGCCAGACCCAAGTCTTGCAGCCATTCTTCGTATGTTTTAGTCTCCAGGCCTTTGACCATCTTAGCTGCTCTTCTCTGAATTTTTTCCAAACTCTCAACATCTTTTTTGTGATATGGTGACCAAAACTGGCTGCAGTTTTCCATGTGTGGTCTTACTAGGGTTATATAAAGCAGTAATAATACTTTGTGTGATCTTGATTTTATGCCTCTGTTTATAGAACCCAGGATTGTATTAGCTTTTTTAGTTGCTGCTGCACACTGCTGACTCATAGTCAAATGATTGTCCACTAGGACTCCAAGGTCCCTCTCACAGTTGCTGCTTTTAAGCCAGGTCTCGCCCAATCTCTGTTTGTACCTTTGGTTTTTCCTACCTAGATGAAAGACTTTGCTTTTCTCCACACTGAACCTCATTTTGTTGAATAGGGCCCATTGTTCAACTTTGTCAAGATCTTTTTGGATCCTGAGTTTGTCTTCTGGGGTGTTGGCTACTCTTGTCAGTCTGCAAATTTAATGAGTTCCCCTTCAATTTCCTCATCTAAGTCATTTATGAAGATATTGAAGAGTACTGGGCCTTAGATGGAACCTTGTAGTAACTCACTGCTTACTTCTCTCCATGTGGATGTAGTGCCATTGAGGACTACTCGTTGAATACGGTTTCTCAGAGAAATACTCAACATCAAGGCAATTTGGCCTAGTGTTAAGGCAGACTAGAAAGCAGGACACCATGAGTTCAAGTCCTTCTTAGCAATGAAAGCCAGCTGGGTGATTTTGGACCAATTGTGCTCTCTCAGCCCAATTTACCTCACAGAGGTGTTGTAGAGAAAATAGGGTGAGGAAGGTGTATTGCATGTTTGCTACCTTGAGTTGTTTGTAAAAAATAGGCAAGATAAATAAATACATAAATGTTCAATTGTGGAATTTTATGTTTCATTCTGATATTCTGGACCTGTTTGAGCTACCTGGCAGTGTTAGTTAAAACCACAGAATAACAGAGTTGGAACTTTTTGACAATATGCAATTAAGCCTTTTGACTGATGTATTGCCAACTAGATAGGCTGTTTGCCTTCTTTTAGGCAGAATATACTGTATGTATTCATATGCATGTTCACCTATAAGAAAACTAAATATAGAATTGCAAAAGCTGCAGAAATGCTTCAAATGTTGGGATAGATGGACAGATATATTGGAAAATCACAGGTTAAGGAATAGCCACCACAATTACTATATTCCTTTCAATTTAGCTCATTCCAAAAATCTTCCTTATTCAGAGGTCACTAGAAATAACAATATTTCTTAACAATCATATTCAATTGCATTAGAAAGTTCTCAGAAATATGCAAAGAATTTATTTTTGTTTGTTCTAATCTGAACGAACAAATTTCCCATTTACCTAGCCTTAAAGCAGGATAGCTGTAAATCTGAGAGTTTACGGGAAAGTTCTGAGCTACTGAGGAGCCTTAGTCTAAGCAGGTGTTTCCAAAAGAATTTAGATTCTTTTTTGGAGGGAAATTTCCTGACAACTGCATTTAAATATATGTTCTGCAAACTATATACATTTCTTATGTGTTTCCTTTTCTTATGTAGTGTGAGGCAATTTTGTTATTCCATGAATTTTCATGGATAAAATACCCCATTATTATTTGAAAACCAGGTCCCAGTGTTGGTGAACTTCGTCAAACAGAAGTGAAAATTATAGGAAATGAAATTTGCAACAGAAGAGAAGTGTATCATGGAGCCATTTCACCTGGAATGCTCTGTGCTGGATACCTGGAAGGAGGAAGTGATGCTTGTCAGGTAGGTGTAATAATAACTTAGAAGTCAGCAAAAGGCTCCTGCATATATTGTGATTTGATAGTATTTTTGTACTGGAGCAAAACCCACGTATTTATACACCACCTCTATAACTAAGTAACAGAGATTTAGATGAAAAAGAACAAGTTTGGTGTAGTATTTAAGGGCTGACCAATAAACTAGGAAACTATGAGTTCTAGTCCTGCCTTAGGCATGAAAGCCATCTGGATAATTTGGGTAATCCTAGCCCAATCTACTTCACAGGAGAAAATAGAACAAGGAAGTATTATATATGTATATATATATATATACCTTGAGTTATTCATAAAAAAAGACAGTTATATAGTTATATATATATGAGTTATATATAGTTATATATATGAGTTATATATATACCTTGAGTTATTCATAAAAAAAGACAGAATTTTAAAAATCTTTTAAAAAAGAGGTGAACCAGGAGATGTAAAATGTGGAAGCTCATTTTTTCTGCAGTTCCAAGGTTATGATGATACATCTGGGGAGAGGAATGTGGAAGCTGTGGGTAAGGGTGAGAAATATGTGGTTTTTATTTTTATTGTTTTATTTATTTATTCCATTTCTATATTAATTTGTTGGCTAGCAAGTCTAGCCATGAAGGCTTGTGAAGTGGGAGGGAGATGACCCCATTATATCTTCCTCTAAGAAGATTTTATGTCAAGGGAAATCATTTTAGATGGCATCATCTTTGATAAAACAGCTCTATCATATGATTACATAAGTTAGAGATTTTTCTCCTGGTCTTTCTAAAGCAGTGGTAGTCAACCTGGTCCCTACCGCCCACTAGTGGGCATTCCAGCTTTCATGGTGGGCGGTAGGAGTTTTGTCCGATACTGAAGCACTTTCCTTTTTTTTAATTTAATTGACTTTTAAAAGTTTTTTCATAGCATTATTTAAAAGCATTTTCATTTCATAAAATTCCCCATGACAATTTAAATTTCTGAAAATATACTATTTGTATCACCCGCGCATAAGTTTAGTTCATGTTGCGTAAGTGAAACTAAATGGCGCTATAGTGCGACCGCAAACAAAAGAGCCTCATCTCAGAATAGCTCGTGCATCTCCCCCCCACACCACCCAGCTGTAACAGACAAGCAGAGCTGGTAGCCGGCGCCCCCCCAAACCCAATCCACAATGCGTGAGAGGCATGCACAGACGACAATACACAGCGCAGGCTCTTTTGTTTGTGGTCACACTGGTCAGTACACAATTAGATTTGTGAGAGTGAGCACGTGCCTACAGCTTCAAACAAAATATTGTGAGTCCATGTCTCAAAAAAAGAAATACGCTCGTGGCTATTTGCCAGAGTATCTGAAGATGGGTTTCATATAATCTGTTGCAAATAAACAACATCCAATGTGTTTATTGTGTCATAAAACATTATCCAATGAGACAATGAAGCCAAGTTGATTGTGAGAACATCTTTCTACAAAGCATCCAAATGATAAGGACAAGCCCATTGAATATTTTCAGGAAATATATAAAAAAAATCAAAATCATTCAACAATCATTGCATCATTTAAGAAACAACATGCAGCGAACGAAGATGGATTAATTGCCACTTATCGCATTTCACAATTAATTGAAAAAAGTGGTAAAAGCTATAATATTGGAGAAACTGTAACAATACCCTCTATAAAAGAATTTATCTCAATAGTAATGCATCAGGATATACATGAAATTTTAAAAATGTTGCCCCTAAGCGATAGCACAGTAAAGCAACGAATTGAAGAAATGGCAGTTAATGTTGAAAAAACACCTGATAAGTATTCTCCAAAACTCTTCATTTTCCATGCAATTGGACGAGTCTACCATTGCAGATAATAATGCTTTATTGATGGCATATGTACGTTATTTTGATGAAAACAATACATTACAAGAAGAAATGCTATTCGCAATAAATCTCATTACAGATACAAGAGAATTATCTATATTTAATACTGTGAAATCATACTTTACAAAAAAATAATATTCCTTTGAATAATATTGTTGCATGTGATACTGATGGAGCACCATCAATGGTAGGTCGCTATCATGGATTTGTTGCTTATTTGAAGGAAGAAGTGCTAAATGTTTTATGTATTCATTGTGTGGTGCACAGACAACATCTTGTAGGAAAACATCTAAGTATAAGTCTCCATTCATCATTAACTATAATAATTCGAGCCCTAAACAAGATCAAATCCAGTGCAAAAAATGATAGAATGTTTCGATAGCTTTGCCAGGACAATAATGAAGATTTTATTACATTACTTTTGCACACAGAAGTTTGGTGACTGTCAAAGGGTACATCTTTGGCTCATTTTGTAGCATTATATGATAGTGTCATACAATTTTTTGAAAGTAATAATGAGACCAATCTGTGTCAACAGTTAAAAACAGTAAAGAATGATGCCTTTTATTTGGCAGATATTTTCAAGAGATTTCATGATGTCAATTTACAGCTTCAAGGAGCTAACAAAACTCTTATAGGCTGCCAAAGTATTGTGTCATTATTTATTGACAAACTTGAACTACTTCGTTATAATCTATTGAAGAGAGAATTTCATCAGTTTCCTGAATTATCATCTATAAAAGATGATGTAACTCCAGAGGATATTGACAGATTCAGTAGCCACCTCAATGAACTTAAACTGGACATGGAAAAACGATTTGAAGATATTTTGAAATTGAAGGTGTATGACTGGATGAAAAATCCTTTTACCGCAAATATTGAAGAGGCTGATACAACTTGTCAAGAAGAACTGTTAGAAATTAGATATGATGAAGAAAGTAAACATAAATTCAATAGTGGTGGATATGAAAACCTATGGCAAAGTTAAAAAATGCCTGTCTTATATCCAAATATGTGGAAAATGATATTCAGTTTATTGATACCTTTCCCTACCTCATATCTTGTGGAATCAGGCTTTAGTGCTGTTAATCATATTATGACCAAAGAAAGAAACCGCCTGAATATTTCCGAAAGAGGAGACCTTTGTTTGTTCCTTACAAAAATTGAGCCAGATATCCAGTATTTAGTTTCACAGCATCAGCCTCAGGGATCTCATTAATAATTTAATTAATTAAATGTAATTTCAGCAGACTTCATGCTTCTATGTATGCAAAATATAAATAAAAAGATAGATTTAACTACAGTAAGTTTTTTTTATAAAAATTTATTCTGTCAAACTTAGCGAAAGTCCGACATAAAGTATTTGGTAAGTAATTATTATTATATGCTTTAGCTTGCTGTAACTCTGCTTTATAAATTTTATAAAGTAAAGTTACTTCCCTACTTTATAAATTACCATTACTGTGGAACTGGTGGGCGGTTAGAAAATTTTACTACTAACAGAGATACAAAAGTGGGCGGTAGGTATAAAAAGGTTGACTACCCCTGTTCTAAAGCAATCTTCCATCCCTTTTAGGGTGACTCTGGTGGACCATTGGTTACATCTGATTCAAGAGGAATATGGTATCTTGTTGGCATTGTAAGCTGGGGAGATGAATGTGCTAAGCCAAATAAACCTGGAGTCTATACACGAGTTACTTACTATCGAGATTGGATTGCTTTCCATACAGGAATCTGAAATAATGACGAGTAACTTTATATTAATGTATGAGATCCAAGGTATATTTTTCTTATAAACAGTCATACTGATCTGGTAAATTCTGTTGAGTAGGGATTTGTTTTTCTGTTGGAGGCATCAACACTATTCTTTCCATGTTATTTCATGTCCATGTCTCCTTATATTATATTATAAATACTGTTCATGTGTTATTCAAAAAGATGAAAAGATTGAAGCATTCACCTGCAACCAACAAAATAATTTTGTTTGTAGTTCTTTATGATTCCCATCCTTAAAATGCTGCATTGTTTGCACTGCTTGATTGCACTGAATGTTCAGCTCTCCCAAAAGCTTTGATAATTTGGCCAATCTTTTGTTTTGTTTTGAGTGTATGGTATTATTCAAGGAGAATTGCTGCATCACCCCTTCCAGGGATTGGAGTATTCAAATACATAATTCCTTTACAACTATATTGCAAAAATGGAGAGAATTCTTAGGCGAGGGATCCTCCATAGTCCTCCTTAATTCATGCAGTCTAGAAAGAGACATGCCATGCAGATTGAGAAAGTATTAAAGTAAGGATCAGTTAGTTTGTATCAGTCCTGCTATCATATTTATCCATGTTCTTGGGGGGAATTATGATGATAAAAGCTGCAAAATGCAATTGTTCATCTTAGAATAATTATATGGTTTCTAATGGTCTTTCAGCGGCTTTCTCCTAATCTGATACCCTCTGGAATGCTTTGAATTGCAATTCCCAACATGGACCATTTTGAGAAACAGAATTAGAAGGATTTAATATTCAGTCAATTCAAACTAAAAACTATTTACTTGGACATGGAAGGGGAAATTTGCAGAAGAGAGTGACCACAGAAGAAAATGTTAGTGAGGTACCATGCTAAGTTGATTTTTATTATAAATAAAATTTCCAGTGTTTTATTTATCCTTCATTTCAGTTAGAAGAAATGCCTGAAAAGATGAAGTGAGGAAAGCCAATGCTCAAAATGAACTAAGGCTTGTGACCAAAGTCAAAAATAACAAAAAAAAGCTTCTTTCAACATGTAAAAAACAAGAAAAAAGTAAAGGAAACGATTGGTCCATTAGTGAGTGAAAGTGGTAAGAAGGTGACTAGCAATAGGGAGAAAGCAGAACTATTTAACTCGGTTTTTGCATCTGTCTTTACACAAAAGGAAAAAAACAGACCAACCTATCAAAAATAGTGCCATAAAAAACAGAATAGAAACACAAGTTAAGATAGGCAAGAAAATGATAAGTGAGCACCTGTCCAGCCTAGACGAGTTCAAATCACCAGGATCAGATGGATTACATCCCAAGGTTCTCAAGGAACTGGCAGATGTAATCTCAGAACCACTGAACTATATTTTTCAAAGATCTTGGAGCACTGGGGAACTACCAGAGAACTGGAAAAGAGCTGATGTAGTTCCCATCTTCAAAAAAGGAAAAAAATGGATCCAGGAAATTAGAGACCTATCAACCTGACCTCAATACCTGGGAAGATTCTGGAAAAGATAATCAAACAACAAATCAGCGAACACCTAGAGGCAAACAAAGTCATTACTAAAAGCCAACATGGGTTTGTCAAAAACAGATCATGCCAGACAAACCTTACTGCATTCTTTGACCAAGTAACAAAATTAGTGGATCAGAGGAATGCTGTGGATATAATTTACTTGGACTTCAGTAAGGCATTTGATAAAGTAGATCACAACCTACTACTCGATAAGATAGAAAAATGTGGGTTAGACAGCATCACCACCAGATGGATTCGTAGCTGGCTGACCGGCTGTATTCAGCATGTGGTCCTCATTGGAAGTGCATCTACATGGAGGAAAGTGTGTAGTGAGGTGCCCCAGGGCTCTGTTCTTGGCCCAGTGCTCTTCAACATCTTCATCAATGATTTGGACGAGGGGATAGACGGGGAACTCATCAAATTTGCGGATGACACCAAGCTGGCAAGAATAGCCAACAATCCAGAAGACAGGAGGTTAAGATACAGGAGAACCTGGACAGACTTGAACACTGGGCACTATCTAACAAAATGAAATTCAATGGTGAAAAAAGTAAGGTTCTACATTTAGGCAAGAAAAACCAAATGTACAGGTATAGTATAGGGGGTACCTTGCTCAATAGTAATAACTGTGAGAGGGACCTCGGAGTCCTAGTGGACAATCACTTAAATATGAGCCAGCAGTGTGCTGCAGCTGCCAAAAAGGCCAACACAGTGCTGGGCTGCATTAACAGAGGGATAGAATCAAGATCACGTGAAGTATTAATACCACTTTACAATGCCTTGGTAAGGCCACACTTGGAATACTGCATTTTGGTCACCACGATGTAAAAAAGATGCTGAGACTGTAGAAAGAGTACAGAGAAGAGCAACAAAGATGATTAGGGGACTGGAGCTAAAACATATAAGGAACGGTGGCTGGAATTGGGTATGTCTAGTTTAACGAAGAGAAAGACGAGGGGGACATGATAGCAGTGTTCCAATATCTCAGGGGCTACCACAAAGAAGAGGGAGTCAAGCTATTCTCCAAGGAGCCTGAAGGCAGGACGAGAAGCAACGGATGGAAACTGATCAAGGAGAGAACTAAGGAGAAACTTCCTGACAGTTAGAACAATTAACCAATGAAACAATCTGCCTCCAGAAGCGGTGAATGCTCCAACACTGGAAGTTTTTAAGAAGAGACTGGACAGCCATTTGTCTGAAATGGTGTAGGGTTCCTGCCTGAGCAGGGGGCTGGACTTGATGACCTCCAAGGTTCCTTCCACTTTGTTGTTGTTGTTGTTGTTGTTGTTGTTGTTATTAGTTTTCCATGTTTGTAATATCTTCCACCAACACTGTCCTTTCCTTTTTCTGTGTATTTCCTGTTGCTCAGAATACATCCCAAGATTATTTAAGAGTTAAAAACAGTTTTTAAAATACAGTTTCTTCCATTCCTTATTCTTATATGGCAAAATTTAAAGAAAAGTGTGAGACAAAAGAGAATCAATGTAGCAAAAACTATGTGTTTTAATTAAACACTCATAAGGCTCTATTTTGAAGCTATCTAGCATGATTAAGGATTATTATTATTTATAAGTTATAGGGTTTAAATTGCAGTAAAATTTTGAATTTAATGAGATTAACATTATTAAGACATTTCATATCAAGGAGTTTAACTGGTTCTTGCTTCAATTTAACAAAAATATTATTTTGCATTGCAATCCATCTGTTATCAATTAATGATCACAAATCCCATAAATAAGCACCATATGACCAGTGAAAATTTTATCATTCTGGTATGAACATATGTGTTACAAATCATTTATATCTCCAGTCTTTGGATGGATGGCTAAATCTGACATTTCAAACTGTATAAAAGTCTAAATCTGCCTTTCTCAACCTTTTGAGCCTGGCAGAACCCCTAAAATATTATTCAGGCTTCAGGAAACCTGCAGTTACAAAATTATTATGTGTAGTCCTGTATATATGTATTAATAGTGTTCTTAAACTAAAAATAAATAATTAAACTTTTCCTTTCCCCCACGTCTTTCTCCGCTCCCTGTGGATGGGTCTTGCTGCCACTGATATCTGGGTCAACCCAGCCCTAGATTTCCTGCATCCACCCTGAGATGGAGCCACTCACTCCCCAAGCTATTGCACCAGCAGAAAAGCAGACTGGCAAACTGGCATGCTGGCAAGGAGAGGGCCATCACAGAGGCCCAGATGTCACTCTCTCTTGAGCACACTCACATTTGCTACTCTTTTCTTCTCTCCTCCTCACTCCTTGCTCAGCTTGGATTCTGCTCACCTCCTCACTTGCATGCATGTGCACAATCCCGCCCCTCTGCTCGTTACGGTGACCCAACTTACGGTTGGAAGTTTGAAGGCTTTTGTTCACTTAAACGATGAACTCCCAGGTGACATCTCATGGAATCCTAGGGTTCCACAGAACCTCGGTTGAGAAACCTTGATCTAGATACAAGAGATGTGCTTGTATGCAAGAGAATGAAACTTAAATAACCGTCTAGGTCAGAGGTCCCCAACCTTTTTGGCACCAGGGACTGGTTATGTGGAGAGAGGTTTTCTGCAGACCAGAGGGGGCGTGGTTTTGTGTTCTGCCTGCATCTTGCGGATGGGGCTTTGCTTGTTTGTGCGGGTCGGTTGCTGGCATGCCACGGACCGGTACTAGTCCACGGACCGGAATTTGGGGATCCCTGATGTAGGTGGTTATTTAAACAGCAGTGGCTGTTTTCAAAAGTATCTCTGGAATCTTTATCAGCCTATAAAGTTATTGTTATAAATATTTTCTCAGCCTATTGCATAGATGAAATACATCTTGATTAACTAGATTTATAGTTACAATGTACTGCTCACATTCCACTAGACTAAAATTTCAAAGACTTTCATCCCTTATTTGGCTAAATCTAATGAAATCTATGTAACAGGTTTATTTGCTGAATAGTGATAAATAAAGTATAGTGGAAATATAAGTGCTGACAGTAATACATATTTACAGACTTCTGGATTATACCAGAAAAGCTACCATACCCTTTGCTCACATTTAAATGCTATGATTCAATTGTGTATATTCAAACTGTTCAAACTACTATGCCTACTGCAGGGAAAACAAACAAACCATTGAACGGGGGAGTCCAGTACTCAGGAATAATATCCTTTAGGGCAAGCTTAGAAAACAACAACAATAAATCCTTATTTTTCTAAGCTAAAATCATTCAGGTTAATAATATCTCTGTCCTGCCAATATTAAGCAGCTTAAAAGAATTCCTTTCTAACATGAAGGGACCATATCTAAGGATATGTAGATAGGGAAGAAGACTTATATGAATCTTCTTTATTCTTATATTTAAAATCCTCCATCTTTACATAGACCTTTTTTATTCCAAGCAACCAAGGACTGTCAGAAAATCATTCAACATCAACAGACTATAAGACCCAGACCAAGTCCAACTCTTTCAAGATGACCTGCCCCTTCTACTGATGAAATCAAGAAAGTGATCTCACAGAGGAACTCAAATAAAACAACAGAGCTGAGTGGCATTCCTGCACTAGATGCAAACACCTTGCAAGCATTCCAAGATGCTTTGGAAAACATTTGGTCCATGGAGGAGATGTCTGAAGACCTCAGTGATACCTTCATTGTGTCTTCTATAAAAACTAGGGAAGCAAATTAGATACTACAAAGATATCTTGTTGTTGTCCACTGCAGACAAAATCTTTGCCCACATTTTTCTGAACAGAATAATAAAACATCTCTTTTTTTCAGCTAAAGTAGGCTGCTTTAATAAAAAAAAATTGATATTCCACTTTTGTATTCACCTGATATTCAAGGCAGTTACCAATTAAAATATAGAACATAAAATACAATTTATTTATTTTTTAAAATGAAAATGATTAACAACTAAAAGTCTGAGGTAGCTGGAAATTCATTTTTGTATTAAAAAAATGAAGAAACATTGAAACATAATTCCTGAACTGAGAGAGATATCTTGCTCTGTAATTCTAGGTGTATTTATTATTTATTGTGTATTTATGGTTGGCTCTTGTTGGCTGAACTTGAGATTTTAGAGAACAAAGTGCATAAATTTAATCAACTTGAAGGTAGTCCAACCTTGTAGGAGCAACATTGCCTCCAGTACATATGAGCTTCCTAATGCAAAAAGATAGGAAAATGATATGAGAGAGAGAGAGAGAGAGAGGGAGGGAGGGAGGGAGGGAGGGAGGGAGGGAGGGAGAGAGAGAGAGAGAGAGAGAGAGAGAGAGAGAGAGAGAGAGAGAGAGAGAGAACAGGACCCCCTGAAATAAAACATGCAAACACAGATCCTGGAAAAGAATAAACTGTCACAGAGAAAGGGAGTCCTCTGGGTTCCCCAAAGAGAAAAAGGTATGATAGTGATTGGTAACTCACTTCTAGATGAACACTATCAGCAATTTGTAGACTGAGCAATTTAGTGAAGTATGTTGTCCCTCATGTGCAAAAATAAGAGATATTACAGAGAGGCTTACCCAAATAATCAAGCCAACTGATTACTATCCCTTTGTCCTCTTTCATGTTGGGACAAACAATACAACAAAAAAGACCCTGAAAAATATCAAAGAACTGTGAGCTGCTAGGCAGGAAGGCAAAAGACTTTAGGAGCATATTTTCATCCATATTTCCAATGGAAAGTCAACACCCAGTGAGGGAATGGATGGTTCTAGAGGCAAATTGCTTGCTCAACAGATGATGCCATTGAGACAACTTTGAATTTTGGGACCATGGTTTTCACTGTTAGAGGACTGGAAAAAAGCTGGTGTGGTTCCAATCTTCAAAAAGGGAGAAAAAAGAGGGTCCATGAAATTACAGACCAATCAACATCAACAACTGGGAAAATCCTGGAAAAGGTAATCAAGCAGTGGATTTGTGAGCAACTAAAAATGAACAAAGTGATTACTAGAATCAGCATGAGCTTGTTAAAAACAGTTATGCCAAACAAAACTTATTGCCTTCTTGGTTAAAGTGACTGTGTTAATATGTAAACTTTTAAATATAATGGAATATTGATTTACTTGTTATTAAGGTTCCATTGTGAACATTCCTTGTTATGTTGTTGTTAATTGCGAAGTCGTGTCCGACCCGTCGTGACCCCATGGACAATGTTCCTCCAGGTCTTCCTGTCCTCTACCATCTTCTGGAGTCCATTTAAATTCACACCTACTGCTTCAGTGACTCCATCCAGCCATCTCATTCTCTGTCGTCCCCTTCTTCTATTGCCCTCAATCTTTCCCAGCATTAGGCTCTTCTCCAGTGAATCCTTCCTTCTCATTAGGTGGCCAAAGTATTTGAGTTTCAACTTCAGGATCTGGCCTTCTAAAGAGCAGTCGGGGTTGATCTCTTCTAGGACTGACCGGTTTGAACGCCTTGCAGTCCAAGGGACTCGCAGGAGTCTTCTCCAGCACCATAGTTCAAAGGCCTCAATTCTTTTGCGCTCAGCCTTTCTTATGGTCCAACTTTCACAGCCATACATTGCAACTGGGAAAACCATGGCCTGGACTATACGCACTTTTGTTGGCAGGGTGATGTCTCTGCTTTTTAGTATGCTGTCTAGATTTGCCATAGCTTTCCTCCCCAGGAGCAAGCGTCTTTTAATTTCTTGGCTGCAGTCCCCATCTGAGGTGATCTTTGAGCCCAGAAAAATAAAATCTGTCACTACCTCCATTTCTTCCCCATCTATTTGCCAGGAATTGAGAGGGCCGGATGCCATGATTTTGGTTTTCTTAATGTTGAGTTTCAAGCCAACTTTTGCACTCTCCTTCTTCACCCGCATCAAGAGGCTCTTTAGTTCCTCTTCACTTTCTGCCATTAGAGTGGTATCATCTGCATATCTTAGGTTGTTGATATTTCTCCCGGCAATCTTAATTCCAACTTTTGATTCATCTAGCCCTGCCTTTCTCATGATGTGCTCTGCATATAAGTTAAATAGGCAGGGTGACAGTATACAGCCTTGCCGGACTCCTTTTCCAATTTTGAACCAATCAGTGGTTCCGTGTTCGGTTCTCACTGTTGCTTCTTGACCCGCATATAGGTTTCTCAAGAGACAAATGAGATGGTCTGGTACTCCCATCTCTTTAAGAACTTGCCACAATTTGTTGTGATCCACACAATCAAAGGCTTTTGCATAGTCAATGAAGCAGAAGTAGATGTTTTTCTGGAACTCCCTAGCTTTCTCCATGATCCAGCGTATGTTGGCAATTTGATCTCTAGTTCCTCTGCCTCTTCGAAATCCTGCCTGTACTTCTGGTAGTTCTCGATCCACATACTGCTGGAGTCTAGCTTGTAGGATTTTAAGCATAACTTTACTAGCATGTGAAATGAGTGCAATGGTGCGATAGTTTGAACATTCTTTGGCATTGCCTTTCTTTGGAATTGGAATGTAAACTGACCTTTTCCAATCCTGTGGCCACTGTTGAGTTTTCCAAATTTGCTGGCAAATTGAGTGTAGCACTTTTACTGCATCGTCTTTTAAGATTTTGAATAGCTCAGCTGGAATACTGTCACCTCCACTAGCTTTGTTGTTGCTCAGATTTTCTAAGGCCCATTTCACTTCACATTCTAGGATGTCTGGTTCGAGGTCAGTGACCATCTCATTGTGGTTATCTGGGATGTTAAGCTCATTCTTGTATAGTTCTTCTGTGTAGTTTTGCCATCTCTTCTTAATCTCTTCTGCCTCTGTTAGGTCTCTGCCATTTTGGTCCTTTATCATGCCCATCTTTGCATGAAACGTTCCCTTCATATCTCCAATTTTCTTGAAGAGATCTCTGGTCCTCCCTATTCTGTTGTTTTCTTCTATTTCTTTGCACTGTTCATTTAAGAAGGCATTCTTATCTCTTCTAGCTACTCTCTGGAATTCTGCATTCAATTGGGTGTATCTTTCTCTTTCTCCTTTGCCTTTCGCTTCCCTTCTTTCCTCAGCTATTTGCAAAGCTTCCTCAGACAGCCATTTTGCTTTCTTGCATTTCTTTTTCTTTGGGATGGTTTTAGTTGCTACCTCTTGTACAATGTTGCGAACTTCCATCCATAGTTCTTCAGGCACTCTGTCTATCAGATCCAGTTCCTTAAATCTATTTGTCACCTCTACTGTATATTCATCAGGAATATGATTTAGTTCATACCTGAGTGGCCTAGTGCTTTTCCCTACTTTTTTCAATTTAAGCCTAAATTTTGCAACGAGAAGCTCATGATCTGAGCCACAGTCAGCTCCTGGTCTTGTTTTTACTGACTGTATAGAGCTTCTCCATCTTTGGCTGCAGAGCACATAGTCAATCTGATTTCTATGTTGACCGTCTGGTGATGTCCATGTGTAGAGCCGTCTCTTGGGTTGTTGGAAAAGAGTGTTTGTTATGACCATCGTATTCTCTTGACAAAATTCTATTAGCCTGTGCCCTGCTTCATTTTGTACTCCAAGGCCAAACTTGCCTGTTATTCCGGTTATCTTTTGGCTTCCTACCTTAGCATTCCAATCCCCCATGATGATAAGGACATCATTTTTTGGTGTTAATTCTATAAGGTGCTGTAGGGCTTCATAGAACCGGTCAATTTCATCCTCTTCAGCACCAGTGGTTGGGGCATAGATTTGGACTACTGTGATATTGAATGGTTTGCCTTGGATTCGAATTGAGATCATTCTGTCATTTTGGGGATTGTATCCCAGTATTGCTTTTCCTATTCTTTTATTGACTATGAAGGCTACTCCATTTCTTCTGAGGGATTCTTGCCCACAGTAGTATACCTGATGGTCATCTGAGTTAAATTCACCCATTCCTGTCCATTTTAGTTCGCTGATTCCTAAGATGTCAATGTTCAGTCTTGTCATCTCTTTTTTGACTACGTCTAGCTTGCCTTGATTCATGGATCTTACATTCCAGGTTCCTATGGAGAAAAAATCTTTACAGCATCGGACTTTCCTTTCACCACCAGATATATCCACAGCTGAGCGTCCTTTCGGCTTTGGCCCAGTCGCTTCATTCTTTCTGGCGCTACTAGTACTAGCCCTCTGCTCTTCCCCAGTAGCATATTGGACACCTTCCGACCTGAGGGGCTCATCTTCCAGCGTCATATCTTTTTGCCTTTTAGTACTGTCCATGGGGTTTTCATGGCAAAGATACTGGAGTGGTTTGCCATTTCCTTCTCCAGTGGATCACATTTTGTCAGAACTCTCTGCTATAACCTGTCCGTCTTGGGTGGCCCTGCACGGCATAGCTTATAGCTTCATTGAGTTACGCAAGCCCCTTCGCCACGACAAGGCAGTAATCCATAAAGGGGATTCCTTGTTATACAGCACATCTATTAAGAAAGCTACAACACAAAGCTTAGTTTTTACAAAAATGCTACAGGACTTTACTGCCATCAAGTGGCACTGAATTGTTTACTGTTTCATTTAAAATAAAATTTTAAGAAGTTTCAAGTAATACAGTCCATACATATTGCAGAAAAAATGGTTTAAGTAAAAAGAAAATGTCAGTTACTAGAACTTTATTTATTGAGATATTTCTGACAATGGCATTTGGATCATATACTGATAAAATAAAATAATTTTTATTTATATTAAAACATAAAATCAGAGGAGAAAAAAAATCAATAAAAAGAAAAAATGTTTTGGAATTGGAAAATTACCTAATATAAAACCTCCTGTAACTTATCTCTATGTGCTTCACAAGTATCTCCTTTGCCTTCATCTTTCTTCTTTTTCACACAGCAATCCTCATTTTGTCATCTATATGCCATCTATCCATCCCAGGATTGTAGCAGTAATAAACAGTTGGTTCTTGTTTAACAAAGGCAAAGGAAAGCTGAATTAAGATCATAAGCACTGTTGCAATTTTACTTAGCAACTACTTTATTTGACAACCAAGTTGATGGTCTCAATTATTGTCACTAAATGAAGACTGTCTCTATATTAACTGATTCTATTCCTAGAGTTATTCCTGCACTATGGCAGAGTCTGCTTCCTGTATATCAACTGATTAACCAAAGCAAAATGATCTCCCTTACTTTTAATATATTGTGGGAAAACACCCATCTAGACAAGAAACCAAAGCAATTGGAGGGAGATGCAACATTTTTTTATTGGCGTGTACAACTGCAGTGATCACTGGGCTCCTCGCCAGATGAAAGAGCCTGAAATTCACAGCGTTACAACTTTGA